ACAAGATAACAAAGATCTCGAAAATCAATACAACGATTCTGTTAATGCCTTTCTGGTAAAATAAATTATATTAATTTACATATATATATAAACTTTTCATTAATATGGATAATTGTATTTATTTTAATAAGCAACTTGAAAAAGAAGCGAATGAAATTCTAGAAGAATTGGCAAATCATGAAAAGAAGATATTAACCTGAAAGAGAAAAAAGAAACATGCAACTTCTAAACAAAAGAAAGTGACAATGGCAATTTCTAGGGTAGGTTATATTAGTTTATATTCATTTGATGCATACATATATATTTTCGAGGACATACAATAAACTTTTCATTATAGGGTCGTCATGGACTTTCGAAGCGAAAACAGCGATACGATTTAATGAATGATCGAATGGAAGAAATTGTGGGCTTGTAAAGATCTTTAGAGGCTCAAGAAAGCGAACTTGAAAAAAATCATAGAAACCTTAAAGGGTATGAGAATCGATTACTTTTATCCAATTGTGTTAATATTTTTTTTATATTGCAATTATATTGAAACTGGATTTAATCTTAAATAAAGGCAGTCTGAAGTTTATTCTAACCAAATTGAAGAAAAGAAAGAGAACTTGTACCCTGGTCAGTGAAGATCAATGATAAACAATCTCTCGTTGATATCAATGAATCGGAGTATATTATTTTAAAAGAGAAAGTTGATTCAATAAAACAAGCTCTTAAACAAGCAGAAGAAGATGCTGTCACGCTAAGAGAATTATTATAAGAAATCAATTTGCTTTTTTTTGCTGATCAATTAATCATCAAGAAATATCATCTACAAAGAATCAAATCAAAGACTTGAAACGAGAAATTCAACAATTGGATACTGATTTAAAGGTTATTATTTAATTTAAGATTTAAATTATTATATTTTAAGTATTTTAAGATAACATAAATATCTTTTATTACTTAGCATTACCTTAGTCAGCAAAAAATCTCAGGTCTATTCTTGCCGATTCTCAACAAAGAGAAGAGATGAGAAAAATGCTTTACAATCTTCTCAATCTAGAGGACAAATTCTTAGCAGCTTGATAAATCTCCAAGATAACGGGAATTATACGTAAGTTCGACGGAGCGGAGTGTTCTATAAATTGTTTTGCTGAAAATCTTATTTATTTTAATTTTTTTAATTAGGATCGTTTGGGTAATCTTGGTGTCATTGATGATAAATACGATGTCGCGATTTCAACCGCCTGTTTTGCATTGAACAACATCGTGGTTGATTCTGTTGAAGTTGGACAAACTTGTGTAAAACATCTTAGAAAAAACAATTTAGGTCGCGTCACATTCATTCTTTTGAATAACCTACCTACCGTGGATATGCAACCGATACAAACACCCGAAAATGTTCCCCGTCTTTTTGATCTTGTTAAGCCGAAAGATGAAAAGTTTATCCCAGCATTTTATAATATGTTACAAAATACTTTGGTAGCCGAAAATCTACAAAAAGCGATCAGGATAGCATTTGATAAAACTCGATGGCGCATAATGACTTTAAATGGTGAATTGGTTGACAAATCTGGCACTATGAGTGGCAATGACCAAGTGTTGAAAGCTTCCGACATAACACCCGAGATAATAGCACAATTAGAAAGAGAACGTAATCACTTAGAAGCACAGTGTAGAGAATTTAATGAAAAACTTAGTTCTTTAGAATCTCAACTTCAAGAGAAAAAGGATAAACTTCCTAAATTAGAGTTTGAACTATCAAATTTAGAGATATGTGCTGATGTTTGCGTAAAAAGTATTACCGATAATGAAACAAGTATAGTCAAGTTACGGTATGTTTAGAACTTTTTCCCCAATAAATTCTTGGTAAAGGCTGATAAAAATCAAATTTTTTTTTGATTTTTCCTTTAAGGCAAAAAGTGAATTTAAATATAGAGTAGAGCGTATGTGACAACTTCGAACACAAATTGATCATATTACACAAGAGTTGGATAGATTGAAACGTCAACCTTCTAAAATTTAAGGAGATTAAGATATTGCAAGATAAGATTTTGGAAATTGGGGGTGATAAACTTCGAGCTCAAAAGTCTAAAATAGAACATGTTAAAGATCAAATAGTTTTAATAAATGAGCGAATTACCAAGTCGCAAGTGGCCAAATCAAGGGCGGAAAAGGAAAAGAAAAAATTCGAAAATTCTCTAGCAAATAGTGAAAGGGGATTAAAAGAATTAAATAATGAGATAGAAAATATTACAAAAGAAATTCAACAGAAAGTCAATGTTGCACGTTCCATTCGTATTAAAGCCAATGAAGCCAAATCTGTATTTATGATTTATTATATCTGAATTTTTTTATTATTATAAAGTTATAAATACTTATTTACATGATTTCTAAATATTTAGAAATTGGAAAGTAAAAAAGAAGAATTAGATGGGATCAAGGAAAAATTAGATGAAAAAACCGAAATTTTTAATCAGATTAGAGCTATTGAGGTTTATATTTATATTTATCATTATTCTCTTAAAATTAAGTCAATCTGTTTTAATGACTAATATACTCTACTTTATTAGTTAAAGATCCAAAACCAAATAGAAGATCTTGAACGCAATTTGACAGAAAATAAACAAAACGAAATTCGTTGGCGAAAATCTCTTAGCGACCTTACACTTCATGAAATTGGGTAAGGCATGCTGATGATATTTTTAAAAATTATCATTCTACCATTTATCTCATTGACCTTTATAATAGGAGTGACGAGGTGCAAGAATTTCAAATCTATACTGATGATGAGCTCGATGCAATGGACAAAGATACATTACAAGAAGAGATTGATATTCTTAAAAGTATTCGAATTTATCTTTTTTTTATATTCTATTAATTCTTTATATCTAATATTTTTTTTTTTAAAAAAAAAAAACTAGAAAAAACCGAAAACGCCAACCCAAATCTAAATATTTTGGAGGAATATAATATTTATGAAAAAGAATATAAATTACGACAAAAAGATTTTGAAGATGTTACCTTTAAGCGTAATGAATGTAAAGAAAATTACGATAATTTAAGGAAGCAAAGATTGGACGAATTCATGCATGGATTCGATATTATTTCTCAAAAGCTTAAAGAAATGTACAAGGTATCTAATGACATTCTTTATCTCAATATATGTTCTATAAAATATAAACAAATAGTTGTTTTTAGAGGATCGTTTGTGGAGGAATTGCCGAGCTTGAATGCGATAGCTTTGATCCCTTTTGTGATGGCGTCATTTTTAGCGTTAAGCCGCCGAAGAAGAGCTGGAAAAAGATCTCCGATTTATCTGGTGGAGAAAAGGTATTTCGTGTGTTCTTCAAAGTTTCAATGTTTCAATTTTAATTATACTTGATAATTAATGAATAATTATTTTACAAAACAGACGCTTTGTTCTTTGTCTCTGGTACTAGCTCTGCACCATTACAAACCTACGCCCATATGTGTTATGGACGAGATTGATGCGGCCTTGGATTTTCGTAATGTTTCAATCGTCGCAGATTATATCAAAGAACGTACTAGGGACGTACAATTTATTGTTATTAGTTTACACAATAACATGTATGAATTAGCGGATCATTTAGTAGGGGTATTTAAAACTGGTGATCAGGTAAGATTCTTTCTTTGAAACTATTTTTTTTTAATAAAAAAGATTATTAATTTTTATGAATAATATTATTTTAGTCAAAATCAGTTACTATTAATCCGCGTAAATTTCAAGAATTTACAATGCTTGGAGAAGATGCAAAATAATATGTTTATCAAAAAAATATTCCCATTAAATAAAAAATTGTATATAAGACGTTTTTTTTACTTTATCAATTTTAATAGTATTATATGCATCATGTCTTTCACGTTTCTTAATTAAAAGGTTAAAATTAAAACCATCTTCTGTTAAGTATGAAATATTTGAAACAATAAAAATAAATTATAATCTATTAATAATATTAAAAGTTATGGCAGGGTTGGGAAGTACAGTGTTAGTATAATAATTAGTACAGTTAGTACAGTTAGTACATTATAATAATTAATATAAAAATTAGTACAAGTACAGTGATAATTTTATCTAGTACATACAAAATTCCCAACCCTGGTTATGGTATAATAAGCTTACTAATTGGATTAGATGTTGTAATATTTTGGTTTATTAAATCTACTTATGCTTGTTATTTATTAATATCAATTTTTTCATCTGAATCTTATTCAAAATTTGTAAAATCTTTTTTTTTACATGTGAAACTTCTTTTGATGCATAACCAACTGCTTTTGAAATTCAACCATATTATTATCAATCAATATTTATAAATAAAAATAATACTTTTAAATTATCATCAATTACTTTAATAAGAACTTTTGATTATAATAATTGTTTAATTAACAAATAATTTAACATTAGATTTAAATTTTTATCCAATTTACAAATAAGCTAACATGATTGTCTAAAAGTTTAAAGTATAATTAAATTACTAAACCATTTCATTAAATTTGAAATTATATCAACAGTTAAAACTATTATTAACTATTATTATACTTTACTTTTTCAAATAAATTTTCTTTATTAAATATTATTATAATATAAAATTTTATAACCATTTGTAACTTTTCTATAAAATCAAAATCCATATAAATTTAATATCTAATTCCAAATATATGCTTATAAGCAATAATAAATTCAAAAAAATTTTATAAATACAAAATGTAAAAATATATAAAAATATTATGTAATCATATACGTATCATATAGAAAAATAAAATAATAATAAACATAATTATAATTTAATAAATACTATACTTACTACACTATCTAAATTTATATTATTACTTATAAGTCTTTAAATCATATATTCAAAAAATTAAAAGAAGATTAAAATAATACTCTCAATATAATTTAATAAGAAAAACCTAAGTTCTAATAATAAAATAAAAATAGAAAAACTTTATTTAACATATTTTTAACAAAAGTTAAATTAAATAATAAAATTACTATTACAGTTGCAACATCAGAAATTGCAACTTTTATTATTAAATAATAAAAAAACAACTCATTCAAAATTTAAAATTCCTATTAAAATAACAGAAACTTTAACTTTAAATATAAGTTATATATCTGAATTAATTGAATTAATTTAGAAAATAAAACTTATAATTTAAGATAAAACATTAATAACACATAAAATTTGTTTTTAAAATAATTAATAAAAGCTTTAAAAATTTAACTAAAATTAATAAACTATTTAAAAATATAATAATTATCTTTAGTAAAGATTTTAAATAAATCTGATCAATCGTAATTTAAGAAACATATAAACAAATTATAAATACTTATCTTAAACATTCATATTTATGAAGATATATAATATAATTTTTAAAAATAAAAAAATCAAAATTTTAATATTAAAGACTTCAATTATTCTTATTAGCAGACTCAGTTGAAGATAAAAATTCAGTTTATTAATATCTTTATCCTGTAAAATTTTTAAATACTTTAATATCAAACAAAATATCACCTTATAAATTAATACTCAAAATAAAAACTCCTATTATACTTTATTATACTAGATTAATCATTAAAATATTTTAGCAATATGTGATAAAATGCAAAAATTTTAACAGATTCATATTTTGAAAAGAAATTTTTATTTTTCAAATTAGATTAATTCTATCAGATATAAATTTGTCATTTCAATTAATTTGTCATCAATTTCCAATTTTATTATAATTATCAATAAAGAAAAGAACAGAAATTATGTCATTAAAATTTTAGAAATTTTGATATCTTTTTCCTTTTATCATCATTCATTTTAAGAAATTTATAATTAACTTATATAAAATTTGTAAAACATTATCATAAATTAAATCCTTTCCTCCCTTTTAAAATAATATAATTTCTAGTCTTCCCTTAAAACATAAGATCAAATAATTTTATATATGGGATTATATTTGTCTAATCCAATATTTTCTTAATAATAATTATATGTTGTTTAATAAAGGTTCAATCAAAAAATAACATTAAGATCTTGGTTAAAAATAATTAAGTTAATGAAATTCAGATATACAGTTAACTCTTTCTATAGCAAATTTTGTTATAACAAATTTCACGATATAACAGATCTACAGTATGGTATAGATTTTTAAATATAGAAAAAACCTTTTTTTGCTTTACTAGAATCGCGCTAATGATTACATAATATGTACAGCTCACAAGTAGCTATACGACTTATTTGGTTTGAATTATTATTACCCCTTTGACACTTTTAAGCCTAGTATGAATATGCGAAATCTAGTTACATAATTGTTAAATACCCGAGTAGACTGTCACATTACTAACTCATGTGGAAGAACGCATGATACGTGTTATTATGTACATTCATCACTACTACTGGAAATTAAAGTCAAGAACAACTTAAGATAATAGCCTATACTATAGTTGCCTCGCTATACGTCAAAGTCACCCAAAGAATTGAACTTCAAACTTAAAATCCTAGTTGTGATATAGGCACTAGGGTTCCTCAAAATCGAATCGAATCAAATATTTAAGCAATTTGAATTTGATTTGATTTTTTCAAATCAAATTAAATCGAATCGAATTAAACTCAAATATTTGATCGAATCAATTTGAATCAATTTGAATTTGATCGAATCAAATCAAATT